GTAAAAAAAAAAAAGAAACCAACGGCAATATTTGACGAAGACGAAATTGATGATGGAATTTTAACGTCCAGTGACATATATTACAATGCATGTCGAAACAGAACTTGAAACTGACAATAGGTATTTATAGAACCGTCGCTTTTCCAAAGTATTCCCGCTTAGTTGGAATTTCACGTACTATTTCACAAGGTTTGCATTATAGTTATACATGTACAATATATTAACTAACAATTGTGATGACGAATTTCTTAGAGCTTATTTCCTTATGCATGTAGAGCAAGACTTTGGTTAGCTTGCTTGCTTTGTTTGCATATTGTACAATTGTAATTGAGATAACGTCTAATCAAATTTTAATATAATATATACAGGTTTAATTATGCCTATTTATATTGTTTGATGATGTCAATCTTAATTACAAAGCTTTAGTAAACGTTTATACAAACAAAGCAAGCAAGACAAACAAAGTTTTACTCTACAAGCATTAGGGAATTAGCTCTTAACTGTTATAGAACGTTCTTATTGAAATATAAATATGTGATTTTTCTTTATTCATAACTTCGACAAAGCAAAGCAAATTAGATATAGATTTGGACTGATATGCATAAAAACCACTAAAGTTACGATATCCAATCGTATAGTTTTAATTTATCGTAGAACATGTAGAAAAATCAGTCCGTTTAGAACAAATCTTAACTAAGTATACCTTTATTCATATACGGGCCCTGAATTTAAATCGGATCGTTTCTGGAGGTTTCTCTCTCATTTGTAAAATACATATTTTAAATTGTGACTATCTATAGCTCCGTATCTTTCTATCTGTATAAACCAACGATCGACAAGTGCGTATATGTTTGTGAAATAAATATTCATATCTTGCATCGGAATTAAACATATTTATTCTAAAACCAGTTGTTGGCATGACACGGGTTATGTTCTTCTCATATATTTTATGATGGTATAATACTAAACCCCTAACAGGAGGGATTGTGCCTGATATTCATATGATGAAGACATAATCTTTCAATCAGTTTAATTGAGGTCTGGAGCTGGCATGTCAGTAACTGCTAGTAGTCTGTTGTTATTTATGTATTATTGTCATTTTGTTTATTTTCTTTTGTTTCCTATTCTGACATCGGACTCGGACTTCTCTTAAACTGAGTTTTACTTTGCGTACTGTTGTGCGTTTGTTTTTTCTACATTGGCTAGAGGTATAGGGGGAGGGTTGAGTTCTCAAAAAACACGTTTAACCCCGCCGCATTTTTGCGCCTGTCCCAAGTCAGGAGCCTCTGGCCTTTGTTAGTCTTGTATCATTTTTTAATTTTAGTTTCTTGTGTAGTTTCTAGTTTAGTATGACGTCCATTATCACTGAACTAGTATACTTATTTGTTAAGGAGCCAGCTGAAGGACGCCTCCGTGTGCGGGATTTTCTCGCTGCATTGAAGACCCATTTGTGGCCTTCGGCTGTTGTCTGCTCTATGGTCGGGTTGTTGTCTCTTTGACACATTCCCCATTTCCATTCTCAATTTTATATGTTTTAAAATGTCAATAATTATTGACAAGTAATACAAACATACATTTTTCAAATTTTACCGATGGAAAAAATCTAAATAAATTGTTACTTCCTCAAATCTTTGGTTGGAATTAAATCTCATTCATTACACCAGAAATGTAATTCATAATCAAGTGGTAGTACAAATTGACTACACGTATGCGTTTAGTAATGTATAGTATATCAATGTCGGACTTAAGACACAACAAAAATGTACACATGATGAATATTATACCTGATAATTTTTAAATATAAAGTTTCAAATTACCGGCCGCGTACACTGCTCAGCAGTAATGCGGTGCGTGAAGCTGCATTACGTGTATTATATATAAGAGTTTTAAAGCCCGACAGGAAATCGCTTGAATACCTGGAAGTGTTACCTCACAATACCTCTGTCAATATTTTCTTTGGCCATGCCAGTGACATATAATACAATATACAATGCCCCTTCTATATACAATGTATTATATTTCTCTGGCCATGCTGATGGTCAAGTTAGGGAATTAAATAAAGGTATTATATAAAAGCTAAGACATAATATTTTTTTTATAGTGTATAATAGTCCCAGTTAAAAAAAAGTTATGAACAAATTCGATTATTGAAAACAATTTTGCACAGAACACCGCTAGTTAATTATGGCTTTAAACTACACGTACGAGAGAATCCATAAAAGAAATCGCTCTTAACTAATTCCCGTATATTTACTTGTTTTATAAAGTTAGTAAAAAAAAAAGGTTAAAAATGACAGATCATAGTTATTTAAATAAAATCAGAGACTGTAAACAATTGATATTGTGAATTTGAAATCGATGGGATCGTATCTAGGAGAATAAAATGTTAATATTTATGAATTTGTGCTGTTTTATACAAATTGAACATGATATCAATTTTTAATTGTTTTGCGGAGTTTCCCTTTAACTTTTTAGACTTTTATTGCTGTTTTTTTTGTAGGTTATATTGTGTTATCATGATACTATATTAAATTCATTATTATCCAATGAATAAATAATATTCTCTAAAATGGCATTGATAATTTCTCTTTTCGGTAAATGGACTGTTTTTTGGTGCTAAAACTTCCGACTGTTTTTTGCTAAAAGTCCTATCTATGCGCTGAAATATTCTCCGCTGTTGATAGTGATACATTTTTGGTGAATGAATTGAATATGAATACACATCACTTACATTTGTCAGTGTAAAATAAGTTAAAATCATCACACGGTATTACTTTAACACATGAAACTCCGAACCGGAATATGTACAGAATGTATCAACAAGGAAATTGCATACACATATAGAAAACATAATGAATTGTGCAAGCACAGTACAAGATTACATGTTCTTGAAAAATTGAAATATGCATTATATAGAAATAATCTTGCTTGTATAAACTTAATATTTATCAGACCAATTATGCAATATGCATATGCGTTTCGGGATAATTGTACTCAAACGCGATTCTAATAATTTAGAAAATGTTAAGTTGGAAGCAGGAAGAATAGTAACGGGGTTGCCCGTGTATGTCAGTCGGGAAGCTACATATTTCGAAATAGGCTGGCAATTGCTAGTAGACAGAAGAAAGTCAAGAAAGCTCAATGTGTTATATTCTTTACATAACGAGACTGCCCTTGATTATCTCTGCGATTTAATGCTCCCACTTATTGGTCAAATATCTAATTATGATTTTCGAAATAGTAACAACTACAACATGTATGTATAGTACCCCACCTTATAGACTAGATGTAACCAGAACACCTTTTTTTTCCATCTACTACGATTGAATGGAAGTCTAAACCCCGACATACGGACTTCATGAAATATAAATACAGCCACCCTTCTACTTTAGTTGTGGTGTTAGTAAACTTAATAATTAATATCATTCATGGTTCAGAAATATGAGAAGCTCTTAAAATGCAGATCTGCACCTTGTAAATATTAAACAAAATCCCGCAGTTATAGCCATGCGGTTGGGGATTGTATTCATAATTTTTTCGAGTGCCCATTTCACAATGAAGCAAGAGAAATATTGTTTTTGATTTTGAAAAAGATATGCTATACCAATTGACCTTCGACTGGCTGATCACGGCGACCTTTATACATTTCAGCAAAATAAAGAAATTTTTGATTCTGTTCAATCTCATATCAGACTTACACAAAGATTCAGAACTTCACATACAATTAAAATTTGGAATTCTTACTTTCTCACACTTCACGCCAGTCCGTATTACAACAATATTATATTGGTTTTTTATTTCGTTTTTGTTTATAGTTTGTATTACATGCATTCCTATTTTGTTTTTCGTCATTATCTAATGTATTTTGTGTTTATATTTGTATAGGGAAAGGACGTCATTAATGTTGTTATAACTTGTGTTCAATCCCATTTGCTACTTTTGGAAATAAAATATGTTTAAACAAAAACAAAACAAAACTGAGGTGAACGGAAAAAAGTCACACACACAAACAAAAACACACGTAAAAAGTAACAAACTTGTACATTGGTACATGAACATGTATAAAAAAAAAGTGTTTTTGTTTTGTGGGCCTTGTATTTTGTATAACAAATCAAAATTTGTAGTATTTCTACGTAATGGAAATCTATTTTCCAATAAGTTCAATAATAGAAAAAAGAATATTTTGTTATCACAAAACACACGCACATCTTAATTTTAAAACTTACTTGACATTGCTTCATACTTTATTGGATAATCAGTGTTTTATGGAAGTTGCATGTTGAGTGCAACTTTAGATATGAAACTATATTTATATTTTGTAGAAAACCTGCATACTGCAATATTTTTACATTAATCTTTTATTTTCAACATATTTCAATTTTATTCTGTGAGAAAAACAATCAAAAGGAAAACATGTTCCCGTCTTAAAATATCTGTTCCCATAGGAACAAAAAAGTTCCCATTGGAAAGAAAAATTGTTCCCATGGGAAGATAAACTGCTCCCATCGGAAAAGTTAAATTCCCATGTACTTTTAATCAGCTGTAGTGACGACAGTGACAACAGTGACATGTTGGGACATATGGGAAATATATTTTTATTAATCATTTATCACTTGGCCGAAAATTATTTTTGTTATCTTGTAAAACAACAAAGTCAGATTTGCCAATTCTGGAATGGCACATTTGTCCCGCACAGTGTTTAAACCTCTCACTTGTATGACAGTCGCATCAAATTCCATTATATTGAAAAAAGACAGAACAAAGATATCTAGAAGTCAGCACACGTTTTTCACATAAACTTAAATGTCTACACCGAATGAAAAGCTCAAATCGTATCAGTAATCAACTAATTTGGAAGAAAAATCTACCTATGTTTATTTAACGTTGTATTGGACAAATTGTAAACAAAACTTATTCTTGAAATAAAACTTCGATATAAGAAGGTTTTGTAGAATTAGAAGTAGTTTTTAAGTGTTGTCAATTTCTTTTTTCTTCTCAAGTATGGAACAACAAGGGAGGAACGGGCAAAACAACTTTGGTATTCCAGCTGTCAGCTGAATATGCAAAGCTACACCCGACAGAACAAGTAGTGGTGATAGATATGTGTCCACAGGCAAATGTTTCTACAGCTTTACTTCCAAAAAACTATAATCCTTTTTTTGCACCGCAGCCTGGAGAGCAAACTGTTTCGACAGTATCTCAATTTAAAAATGTTATGATAGGATCGTCGGGAATGACATATGAATCGACAATCTGTGGCTATCTTATGGCGAAGCTAGATAGGCATGATACTGTAAAGGGGACGATTCCGTTCAGTTCATTTCTTCATCATGTTATAAAGTACAACAAATATATTCCAAACAATGTCTTTCTTTTATGTGGTGACCTGTATCTTGAAGTTCTTTCTAAAAGACTGGAACAGGAAAGACAATTACTACCTACAAACTACGATAAACCATGGAAAAGAGTTACCCTTTACATTAAAGACTTCATTGAAGGTCTGATTTCGAATGATCCTTTACATACGTATACTTTTTTCATAGATACGAGCCCTTCTTTTTCAATTTACACAGAAATGGCAATTAGTGCTGCCAAACGTCTAATTGTACCATTCACGGCTGACGATTTTTCTTTGACAGCTTTAAAATCTATGCTTTATCTCGTATATGGATATGAGAGTGAATATAATAGACGACTAGATAGTTTTAAAGAATCACAGTATTTTTGGTTAGCAAAACATCACGAAATAATGTATCCGAAGTTACACCTGTTTGTTAATAATCGAGTAACATTCTATAAAGATAAACCCGCTGTCGCATTTGCAGCAATAGGTGTTGAAGTTGGTCAAATTTTGAAAAATGTTTACACTAACCGTTCTGAAATATTTGAAATGCATGTGCAGTTCGCAGAATATCCTCTAAATCCTGATCCCATTGGACCTTTTAGAAGGAGATATATGATTGACTTACACGACTTTCACACCATGGGAATACTCTCTATACATCTTGGCTGTCCTATTTCACAACTTCTACCCATTGCCTATGATCTGTTTGGTAGAACAGTTTTAAAAGTTCCTGAAAATCATCCTGGTTTAAATTCATACAATAAGGATATTTTTGATATAGTTAAAATGCTATAAGAGATTTTGCGGCAGCATAAGCTAAACAATTATTCATTTATGAATCTGTTGAAAGGGCTTTCGCTTTACAATTGTTAATTTATTAATCTGTTTATGACATGTTCGATCGGTTTAATTCGTTTTTCATTTACTGATTAGAACCCACATCAATTTGGCAAAAAAAAAAAAAAAAAAAAAAGTCCGCAAAATTCTCAACGAAACCTAAATGTGTTTTCCGCCGAATAGAGAAATTCTTTCCGAATCTAGGTTGAACAACTTCACAATGTATTTCTAATATATATAAAAAGATAAACAGCTCTCTCAAAAGATAATAGCCCATTAGAAATTGAACTAATGAAAATTATATTGACATTTGACAAATTATATCTATATTTTCAGCAAAATTTGATGTGTTTTTAGGAATAGTAATAACCCTTAGTACTTCCATCTGATCGTCAGTCCGTCTGCCTGTCCATTTGTCTTGTAAGTGAAAGACCACAAATGTTGATGAAATGTTTCACAGTTGTCGAACACTAGCTACTTGATGATATGATGATCATAAAGGCGTATTAATCAGGCAAAAATAAAAAAAATAAAAAAGATAACTAACGTTATTAACTGAAAATCTTATCGTATTGTGGCGTGGGGATCCCCTTTTTTAGTTGACTCAAATGTAGTGTCAATAGAACATATTTGATGTTCTTCTTTTTGTATGTTCTATAAAGGATTCTCTATTTCGTGAAAGTTTTCTTCAAGTACCCCACCAAGCTTTGAACTACAAAAAGAGGCAAGAGTTTTTTTTGTCATTTCAACTTTTATTGAGAGACAATTGCTTGTTTTGTTTTTCAACAAGCTTTAAGTGGTAGTAAAACTACATAAGTCGAAAACAAAGCGCAATACAATTTTTTAAAAATTACGAATCGGCAAATACATAAGGCAGCAACGCGGGCTATAGTATAGCCTATACCTTTTTACTATTATAGCTGGATTGATTTATATATTGAATCATACGAAACAACCAAGCAAAAAGACCCGCCCCCTTCAGGCCAACAACTAAAATTAGCCATACATTCCACAGCATTGGTTTTGTTCAAAGTCTTCAATTTAACACACAATTAATTAATTTTCACAATGCTAATTAGGAAAAAAAATGTATAGTTGTACCAATGATTTAACCTAAGTATCATGCATCTTTCGAACTGACATAAACTTTGTCAATGAATATGATAAAGACTGTTTTTGTTTTTTTTTGGTTTTTTACTTTTTTATTTCTTACAAATTCATTTTTCATATAACATGTATAAGAATGTTTACCCGTACAAGATATTCATTTATTCAAAACATAAAACACTATCAAAATACTGAAATTTCAAAGAAATGAAACCTTTATATATCATGCTCTTTACCTAAAAAATCTTACTCTTCCGAAGCACCTGAGATGATCCCCAGTTTAGGCGTAGCACACTTTTGAAGTAAACATTACATAAAAATTCAAATAGCTAACCTTTTATGATTGCTTGATATACTTTTGATATATTTTTCATTCAGCAAGAAAGCCAAGGATAATTTTGAGCTCTAACAAAAGAATCGATTTAGGTGAATATAAAAGATATCAGCCAACGTGATTTTGGTAAGTTAGACTTAACAAATGACGACATTGTAACAAGAAACAGACAGACATTGACGGATTTGACAGTGAGGTATATACATTAATAAAAGTGAAAAACACTCATTGACATTCTACTTCACAACAAAAATCCGAAAAAACCTGCTTTCTGGAAAGGAGAGGCGAAATATCCCAAACGGACATTAAAAAGCATAAATGGACGAATAAAATGTTCATGGGCAGGCCGTAAATAAGATAACATTACCAACTATGTCTTTCGAAAAAAAAAACCCCACAAATAATCCATTCAGAGAGGAATCCCAAATAGCTAGGGGAAAACATTGTTAAAGAAGTAAGTTAAACAAGCAGACAACTCGGTAACAATTCAGCGGGAAAAAAAACGTATAGCAGATTCCTCAGTGATAGGCGTCCTGCAACGACACCAACTGATGAAGCGCATGAACGTTATCTCTATATTCAAAAACCGAAAGAACAGTACTTTTAAGTCAATTTAAATACAAAATAAATGCAGTTAATTAATAAAAATTGAAAACATCTCTACATGTAGTTTGCTGTTCTTTCAATTATTTGTTGTTTTGTGTTGTTAAATCAAATCTAGATTCTCTTGGTAAAAAATATCATGTATGTGTAAAAATGTATAGATGAAAATAACATGAATCTGGAGATGAAATATTTTTGTCAATGAGATAACTATTCGGACGAGACTAAGTGAGGTTGATAAAAGCAACGTTATATCATCGTTTGTCTTTTTACATATATCAAAACCAATGCCGTGTGGTAAGCTATTAAAGGCCCTGATATGACAAAGTGTAAAACAATTCAAAGGAAAAACAAACAACACGACCTGTTTTATGTACAAAACAATAAAATAAGAAAAATAAAATAGACACCAGCCAACGACATTCATTGAATAAGAGGATACTGACTTTAGACAGGCACATACAAAATATGACGGGGTTTTACATGTTAGCGAACGTCCAGCTCTTGCCATAATATGGGAGAGTGGTGTAACTGAAAAAAAATCAGTTGAAAAAGGCTTGCTGATCAGATCGATTCAAAACAAAAACAAAAACACAAAAGAAAAAAAGAAAAAAGAGATAAGAATGTGAATTAGAGACAGATGCCCTCGCTTGTAAATATGCAAGAGTCACTGTACGAATTAAAACTTTTGAGCGTTGTCGTTCAGGCGGAAACCCAATTGAAATTAAAAAAAGGAAATGGAACTCTTTGTTAGAGAAGGTAAAACAGGCGAAGATGGCAAATTTGAATTGTTTACATCTGTTTCTAGGGGCTTTAAAAGTTTATTGAATGTGCCTAATTTAGGATTTGATGCACCTTATGCATGTGTCTTTACTTAAATTATTGAATTGAGCTTCGAGATATTTGTAAACTTTTAAATTATAGACAGATTTTCACAAAACAGTCGATTGTGATACGTGCAAAATTCATGTGGACCTTTTTTGTGCATAAGCATAAATTCCGCCGACAAAAATTCCAAAGAGAGATAACAGATTTATCTTTTTAAAGCATCAATTTGCATCTCTGCCCCCGGTGACAGTTTTTTGGGAAAAAATCCCCAAAATAGGCAATAATTACATCGAAAAGATAAGTCAAGTACATTTTTTCAGGTTCAGGCGTATACTGTCTTGAAAACGTATAAAGAAAAATATTTGATACATCATCTCGATTCAGATTCTATTTATTTTATATATTTAGGCTGTAGGTTGATACAATAACATTAAAAATTTACAGTACTAAAAAATGAAATATATGGGTTAAGTGAAATACCTTTCTAGTGAGTCCTAAGAACGGAGTAGGTGTGTTCGAATAACAAATTTTTACCAAAAGTACTTGACGACAAACTTTTCTGGAGGATCTTAAAAATGCATAACTTCAAAAATACTTCATTTTTTGTGTAATTAGTCTTCAACCTCTGAAAATGTTTAGTCTGCCCTTCCACGAAAAATTTAATTAGAATTTTTAAAGATATTTTCGAACATTCGAAAATTCCTCCTGACAACGCGATCAGACAATAGTTTTAAGTTGACCAAATGCATAAAAGTTCATTAAATGATGCTCAATAGCTAGTAGATACATTTGTATTTTAAAATACAACTGGCATATAAGGATCGTAATGATACTATGTGGATAAATTTATCGGTTTTCAAGAGCTAAACTGACAGCGCGTCATCACTACAATGGCTTCCAGTTTTACGATTATAAAAATTAGGTGGCGTAATGGGGAGATAATTTTGACGAAGTAGAATTCTGACTACGTTACCACAATGCCAACCTCTTTCCCTTAATAGGACATAACCGAATTAGACTAATTGCCGCATTTGTATTTACATTAGCAATACAACGGGTGCTACATTTGTAGCATGATCTGATTACGCTTCCGGAACACTTTGGATCCCGCCTAGTTTTAGTTTAGGCTCGTGTTGCTCAGTCTCTAGTTTTCTATGTTGTATTTGTTGAATTTTATACGTTGTTTGTTTGCTTGGTTTCTTGACATGGCGTTGTCAGTTTATCTTCAGATGATTCATTTCTTGTTTTTTTTTCTTAGATCGGTGTTTTCGTTGGATTACATAAAGCTTGAAATACTTGTTCTTCTTTGTATATAATGGATCAATTGTCAGGATTAGAGTTTGATGGGTAGTGCTTGGAATTGTCTGAAACCAATGGGGTCTATAATTTGACGACTTGGATAGACAAGGACCGAAACATGATCAATAAAACTTGAAATTAGTTGTATGTTTTTATTCCTTAATAGCACGTGTAAAAGTTACGCTTCAAGGATTTAACTTTTGAGATTTGAAATTAGTGACTATTTCGGGTGTATGAATCAAAGGTAAGATTTAATCAAAAGCTATGACAACGTTTGTCTACATGACAAAAAATGGGTGGATTATAAGTGACGCATTTGATAAAAAAAAGTCTTAATTGCTTACTATATAATCCCGCTATCATCAAAAATGGAACTTATTGGAAATACATGTAATCACATGTCGGCTTAACTTTAAACATCATATATATCTGTCAACGCTTCTTGGACCATGATCTAATTTTCCTTACGTAATCATAGGTAAATTATATAGGTATTATCATACGTACGCTCATTAAAATTAAAGGAAATATGTTGCGAGAAAACCAAAATCAAAGCTGTCAAAATATCTTCACAAAATTCAAATAAAATGTTTAACTTAAATAAATTTGATTTTATCTTCAATACTTTTAATTCAAGAGAGACTTAAACATTCAAGTTTTTTCTGATTTCCCTGCAATTAAGAATTTTGCAAAATTTCTAGAATCTGTTCAAAATGATACCATTACAATTCCCCCTTACTTCAGCTGATTTCGACTCGAAATCTTTACACTTATTCCTGAGAAATGAACAAAAACTTTCAACACAATAAAAAAAAAAAAAAGAAAGAAACACATTGTAGAATAGAAACATTTCTATCATGAACATTGATAAAATGATGCAACGCAATGCAATAAAGTTACCATGGACATTATCTATAGAACATGGTATACATGTCTGCTTACTAAAAAAATTACTCAATAAAGTGTTTTTTATAAAAAAAATTACAAACCGTGTTATTGCTGACAATGATTTGTAAAATAAACGACACATCGAGAAATGTTGCCTGAAAAGCTTTTGAATAATCTAACCTTACCATTGAAAACATTATAACTTCAATACAATTGTGAATTAAGGGTTAATTAATATTTTGTGTCAGGGTGACAACACAGTATGTTATATAGGAATGTTGTTTCTGGGGTCGGTGGCGGCGACGTCAACAGTGTATTGGTTTGTGATTAGGGCTGTTTATGAAAAACCACTAGTTCTAGAACCATGATATCTGGTATGCAGTTGTATGAATATTGGCACAATTTATTTCCGTGGAGATTGTAAGGCCCCGCCCCCTCAGTCATGGTCTATTGACTTTGAAACATTTGGTTAGTTTACTCACTTTAGTGTGTGATTATGTCAGTTTATTGGAATCACTAGTGTTAGGGCAATGATATTTGGTATACAGTTGTATGAGAATTGACATACAACTGTATACCAAATATCATTGCCCTAACAATGGACAAATTTCAATTCCGTGGAGATTATTTAGCCCCACTCCCTCCGTCATGGTCTATTGACTTTGAAACTTTTGGTTAGTTTACATGTATAAGTTTGTGATAAGG